AAAAATAGCTGAGATTTCAGTGTAGTTGCACAAAACGGGGCTACCTTGGAACATAAATTGGGATTGGGATTGCCCCGGTGATGTAGTCGGCTATCCTAAGATGTGTACGAAATAGCTCCTTCTACATGATTCTCTTTGACGAGAGCCGTAACACTGACAATGGTAAGAAACAACTTGACCTATAGTGGTAGGATTTTCTTTGGTGTGGTGGGATTTTTAGGAGGAAAATTTCCCTGGTCACCCTGCCGAAGCACATTTTTCTTGACTGTATAAGCTCTGTTATGCACTTGAAAGCATAAAATATTCGATCTATAACTTCACACTTCACACAAATGTCTGTTACAATACTTTGTAGAAGAAGGGTAGGGAGCTGACCTGTGGTCATTATTAAGAGGTTTTTTAAATATTTTTAGACGGAATCCGTTTTACGATTTGAAAAGCGCTAAAAACAGTTTTGAAATTTAAGATTAAGAATAACTGTAAAATTTGGAAATGACTACTTAGTTGGCTTAACTCTTTAATAATTTAATTATGACAGTGAAGAAAAACTAAGAGAATGATGTAGGATTTGTCTAAATATGACCATTAGTCGCAAAGTTATGGCCCATTTTGTCCATGTCGGGTTCTTCTTGCGGGTCATTTTTGATCCCCCTGAACACAATAATATAAGGACCAAAACAATATTTCTGTGACTTTATAGAGAGGTGTTTTGTAGTTGTGTGCATTCTGTGGAAAATTCCCAACAAACTGATGTACAACACGTTGTAGAGTAAAAGTCATTTGTCCATTTGTGTTGTAAAGTTGTGTTTTGGTGTCACAAAAAGCTCAAGTGGTACAAATGGCCTGGAATTGGCTGGATTTTAGCGATGAAAAATCTCCATAACTTTTTGTTTAATAAAGATATCAACACTATTTAAACTGTTTTATGAACTTGAAGGCAGGGGCTTTCAAGTGGAAGTATTTTTGTTGTCGTTTGGGGTGATGGAAATGAACTGGTATGTGGGTGGTGGGCGGGTGCTCTAGTGTGGTTTGCTCCTTCTTTTCTTTTCTATGAAACAACTACATGTACTGTCCTTATCTCTCCTCCTCCTTTTTTGTGTTTGTTACTCTCTTGTAACTCCTCTAACCTTGAGCACTTCTATGACCTCTTTGGTTTGCAAGTGCAATCAAAGGCTTGCTAGAACAAACACTCATGTCTCAAGATATTGTAGTGGAACTGAGACTGAGATATACACACGTATATATATATATTAGGCCTACACCGAGATCTTTGTCCTGCACGTGTGGTGGTATATACCGTACAGACTTGTCTGTTGTCCTGTGTCCTACACCCAGATCTTTGTCCTGCATTTCTAGTGGTAAATACCGTACAGACTTGTCTGTTGTCCTGTGTCCTACACCCAGATCTTTGTCCTGCAATTCTAGTGGTATATACCGTACAGACTTGTCTGTTGTCCTGTGTCCTACACCCAGATCTT